GGGGGGGGGGGGGGGAGCTGCTCTTGGGACGGCCTCTTAGGTGTTGGGAGGTGGTTCTCTAAGTGTGAAGAAATGTCGATAAACTCTTTGCTTCAAAAGTCCTGCTGTCCATATCCAATGTAAATACCCCCATATCGTTTGAGGATCATATGGTCCTGAAGGGACGGGTAGAGGCTCATGGTGTAAATTTGTCTTCGAGGTACCTGGGGGAGATGGTGCCCCGATTCTGACCTCGCTCGCCAAACCCGAACTCCTGAAATTAAGCCAACGTTTGCGGGTGTTTGGTTTAGTTTAGGGTTCGGTGTACGGTTTCAGGCTGGGCTTGAGAACTTGGTTGATGGATGACAGAGAAGAGGTCGAAACCGCAAATCAGGGAGCTTGAAAGACTCGAGAGCAGCAGGGTTCAGTTCCAGGGGGCCGTCCTTGACGAATGCCTTTTGTCGTTAATAGATTTATAGATTTGCGTGGTATGAGATACTTAAAGCGTTTCAAATCCGAAACGGTGCAGCCCTAAAGCCCCAAACCTGGTAGTAGAGGAAGGAGCATAGGCACTTGGACAAGATATCTACGTATAGTATCGCCCTGTTAGTTATGAAATCGGCTGCAGTGCATCCACGTTTAAATCCCTGCGCTATGTCAGAAGAAGTCAGACAAGTCTTTGTGATACGTATCTTTTGGAAATAATTTTCCGACATCCTCCTGTGACAATATGTGCGATGTGAGGGTACTATAGTCCTGAACTATGATGCTTGCTTCTGCAGGTTCGGACACAGACTAAGAGTGATTTGCTGCGGTATGCCAGGCTCGTGGTTAAGATTGGCAGAAGTTGAGGGCTGGAAACATGTTGAATTGGGAGCTGAATCAAGTCCTTTCGGACACCTTGGAGAATGGGGCGGGAGCCATTGCCGTCATCGTCAACCTGAAGCTTGCAAGTTTCTCTGATGCTTCAGCAGTCATCTGCTTCATGTCAGGAAAGCAGGCCAAGAAGGTGGCTGGTGGGGAGTTTGTTCTCCGGATTGGGCCTCATGGGCATTGCGGAGGATGGCTTCCAAAGCATGCGGCGACAAGAAAAGCAGAACGAAGCAGATCCCAAGATTGCTGCTCACAGGGATTTGGAAAATACATGCAGATGCAGGTTTGCTCCAGGAGAACTGCAAGTATCGAGAGGTCTCAAACGCCGAGGCCGGAGATGAGATCAAGAAGCAACAGCTATTAATTGCCGGTGTATTTTTCAAGCCACAGCTGAAAAAGTGTTCAGTGCTAATGGCTGGGATTGCATCTACAGCGTCAAGACTCCAACAACGAACCCATAAAACTCTAAAGCCCTCGACAGTCGATCGCTTTGTGCCAGGACACTGTCGCCCCAAAATCCGGGAACGCCACAAGCGGGCAAGATTGAGGAACTGTCTCAAGCTCAGTCCAGGTAAGGGATGGGATCCCTGACTTCCGGGACCCGTATAGAGCCCTTACGAAGCCTAGATCCCTATAGTGTTGTTGTGCGCTGATGAGTCTGCCCCCCGCCCCCCAATCAGTATTTGCTTGTAGTCAGGCAGTACATTCTTAGCCAACGGGCCTTGCCAAGACTAGTAGCAGTAGGTGGAGTAGGAAGCAGTGGGGAGCAGTAGCACCAGGAGCAAGAGCAGCAGGAGCAGCAGGAGCAGGAGCAGCAGGAGCAGTAGGAGCAGCAGGAGTAGCCGTAGGTTTAGGGTAAGGAGTAGTACTAGCAGCAGCAGCAGCAGCAGCAGCAGCAGCAGCAGCAGCAGCAGCATGAGTAGTAGTTGAAGTAGCAGTGGTCGTCGTCGTAGTAGCACTAGTAGTAGGAGGAGTAGGAGGAGTAGGAATAGTAGTCGTGGTCGTGGTCGTGTTCGTCCTCGTCGTATTATTTATTAGTATTATAGTATTATAGTATTATAGTATTATTATTATTGGTACTACTATTATTGTTATTATTATTGGTACTATTAGTATTATTAGTATTATTGTTATTATTGTTCTAATTGTTATTATTATTGTTATTATTGTTACTATTATTATAAGTAGTAGACTTAAGCACAACTTTCGGGAGCCCTGCTGACAATCTGACAACAGAAAACACCGGCAGGAAAAACCGTGACATTATTGGGAGATTCCAACACAAATCTCGGTAGCGCAGTAAGGCCCAAAGCACTTTACATCCTTGGAGATTTCCAGACAAGGTTCCCGATTAGAATCTCACTATTTTGAGGTCTCCTTTTCGGAGTTTTAGGGCGTGGGATCAACTTTTGTCGGACTGGTGATGCAGGTGCAACGAGAAGTAATAGTCGTCGTCGAAGTAGTCGTGGTCGTGTTCGTAGTCGTAGTCGTGGCAGTAGAACTGCTAAATCCTGCATGGATTTTCTGGTGTAGCCGTGTCACCCATCTCTTCCAAAACCCGGAACTTTAACGTTGATGTCACGAAGCTTCAGAAGGCCTGTGTGTGAGTGGACGAAAGCCTACATCACGCATGGGTTTCATCAACATTGACATTGGAGGGGTGAGGGGAGTGAGCTAGTTAAGATGTCTGGATTTTCTTGTTGTGGGTCGTGTTGGACTCTGTCCAACCACCGTAGTTGAAGCACCTGAAGGCGTGGCAATCCCTAAACGAAGTTGCACCATTTAGCCTTCCAATCCTTCCAAGGCGCGCACAGCCGCAGCTTCCGACGGCCTTGCCCATGGATGGCACAGGCAGGGAAGAAGAGGATGAGCATGCAGAGTGCAGCGGCAATACTTAAGCAATATGCGACTTTTCATGTTAGACCGAGCCCCTCCAAATCCTCATGGCTCGAGGGTTTAAAATCAATCTGCCATGGACAAAATCAGAATCGTCTCCTTAGGTTAGGGTTTACTTACTATAAATCCTTACATAGGACTTGTAGGAACACTAAAGGTTCTTAACTTATCATGGTCCATGGTGGAGTTGTAAAGTCTGCAGGGCTTGGGGTTACATTGAAAAGCCAGCTGCACGACTGGTCCTGTCGAGGCCCCACCATCCCTGCCAACTTGTCTGGGCCTGAGACGAAGTTTTGGGGGGCTTGAACCCTAAGCCCTAAATCCTGAACCCTGAAAATGCAAGCCCAAAAATGTTAAAAGTGCCCTCAACCCCAAAGCCAGTCTTCCGTTGGGCAACAGATTCATTTGCAGAAGGTGCGCGGATGGATGTGAGACGCGATTGCAGGGTTTTTTTGGTGTTATCGGGCTCAGGTATAGGATTCAAGCGCTCAGTCTAGGGCGGTAGCTCTTTGGTGAGGGTTTGGAAACTAGGTCTAGGTTGTGGGCCAGACTTGAAATTGAGCCAAGAAGGCGAAGAGCTCCCTAAGGAGTCGGGTTACGGCTTTCATAGTACATCCAGCCGGTATATGAACCCCGCCGCCTCGCTAGCCTCCCAAAAGTCCAGAACCTTTTAAAACCTCTTCGAAACACTTTCCAGCTGTTTCGAACCCTCGTGATACCATGCCTAGAGGTTACAAAACCCTCGAGCTTTTAGATCCTTGAATCCTACACCCTGAGCAAAAAACCCTAAGCCCTGCTCCCTACATCAACCTTTGGGTTGAGGAGTCCGAAGCATCCAGGCGCCCAGAGAACTCCAGACAGCCCTTTAAGGGAGGGACGATAGACATGTCAGGATTACTGAACTGAGCTGTGGGTACTGGATCATGCCGACAGAAAAAGCCACAGAGACCTCGAGCATAAGCTCCCATACCGCACAATGTTGAATCCCATCATCTAAGCCTCAGAAAACCTAAACCCCAGGATCTAAATGTCCACAGCCCCAAAGCCCCCGAGCCTGAAAGCTACTGCTCTGGAGGTTAGCATACCAAAAGGGTTTAGGGTTTAGGGTTCAAATCCTCAAATGGAAGTCTTACCAAAATAGAGTTATTTGTGGCCCAAACAGTCGGAGCCTTCCGATTGTAAAGACCCTATAAAAAAACCTACCGCCAAGCTTGAACCCATAAAGCCCACAGACATCCAGTTGAAATCGAGTTTTAAACCGAGCCCTAAGCGACCTTGAACCCCAAGTTCCAAAACTCTGCCTGAAGCAGTTTTCTGCAGAGGTTAGGCTGCAAAGCCCTTAAAACATGGAGCTTTTTTTTAGGCGCGCAATAGTCGGAGCCTTTCCGTTGTGGAACCACCCATTGCGGTGTCCCCCAAAAATCCTTATACTTCCCTATGAATCTCAATAAAGGCTCAGTGGCTCCCTAACTCCTGCAAACGCCGGGTCCTTGGTGCATCTTCCTTGGTTCCGGCGTCGCGAGGTCGGCCACTTTGCCGGTGCATGCCCTGGCCTGAGTGTAGGGCTTGACTAAAAGGTCGGTCTTGGGTAGTTATAAGTAGATTTAAATTAGAAGTTCACAGTTCGGGATGTAGTGTTTAAGTATCCTACTTGAGGTTTTAAGTGGCTAAGGTTCAGGGGTCTGGCGGGCTTATAGGGAATTGGATGTAAGGTTTTAGTCGTCTGGTTCTACCAGGACCCCATTCAATGCATGTGCCTTTTCGAAAGGAAAGACGTTTACTTCCGCCGCAGTCAGAAGGTCCTCGCATGCCCAAGATGTTGCTGCCCGTCGTCAGGCAGGCGATATTCTATGAAGCAAATGGACCTCTTGTCCAGCTTCGGCATAGACGGATTTTACCCTGACCGAAGAGCCCTGTGCTACGGTTGAATCTCTCACAACTGCTCTCGGCCCCGTTTTTTCCAGTTATTTCATCAGGCAGAATCATAAATTCTCACATCAACATGTATGTATCTTGATAGCGGGCATTTTGCATTTAATGAATCTGAAGATCAAGTGTTTTGTAGTTGGGGGTTCTAGGCCCTGTTACGGGGCTTTATAGTTCAGGGCTTCGGTCCTCAACATCTTGATAATTGTAATTATGAGGCTTCAGGGTTTAATATAGAAGCACAAAGAATTGCCAACACGATTTTTTGGGTGGTTTCCTTATAAAAAGTATGTTATAATATACACCAAAACCATAGGCTAGTTATGAATGCCCTGACATTAGGGTTTACGGAGAGAGCTCAATACCCCATTCTTGGCTTGCTCCGTAAGTCGACGGCAAGTGAGACCCCATGCCAGATCACCCCCGAACCCTAAGAGAAGCCTCAAAGGAATCCGAAACCCTAGAAGACCCTCACAGAATCCTCAACCCTAGAAATCCTTCAGGGAATCCTAGTAGTTTTCCTAAACCCTAAACGACTAAAGTCAAAACCCTGCACGGTTCCTGAGAGGAACCCTAAATCCAAAACCCTAAACGATCCCGTAAATGAATCCGAAGCCCTGAGCCCGTAAAGGAATCCTACATCCGACGCCTTGCAAGATCCCTCCACGAAGTGCTATAGTCTAAAGCCTTTATTAGGGGGATCCAACACCCCAAGCCTTAAAGGAATCCTAAGGCCCTATAAAGCCTTAAAAGGAATAATCCCCTAAATGGAATCGAAAGCCCTAATCCCCTCATAGGAGTCATCCGGAGCCCAAAATCCTGAACTCTGCGTCGCTGAGGCAGCGGAGATGGGCATGCGGGGGCCGGGGCCGGCTCGGCAGCAGTCTCTGCCGCTCGGCTGATCCCCACGGTTCAGAGTTTAGCGTTTATACGGCTTCGGGCTTAAAGAGTTGAGGGTTTAAGGCTTCTAGGGCTGTAGGGCTTACAGGGATTCTTGGGTTTATTGTGCTTCAAGGGCCCTAGCAGGGTTTATAGGGGGTATAGGGTTTACAAGGAGAAGGGCTTACAGGCTTTATATGGTTTCGTGTTTATAGGGTACTTACATAGGATCATGGGTGTCATGGCACCAAAGGGTTCAGGGCCTTGGGGTTTCAGGGGCCTCCGGGGGCCTACCAGGACTGGGCGCACCAGGACTTATCATGTACTCATGATCCCTGATAGTAAACATGTTGGTTTTCATAGAGGGTCTTTGAGCCCATATAAAAGCCTAGAAAGCTCTATGGAATCCCTTTGAGTGTTCCGGTAAGGTCACAGCAGCCATCGGCGCCACCTTCACGGCAGTCTCCGTACCCGCAGCCGCAGAGCTCAGCGTTTTTGTGTTTGAGGGGGGGGGGGGGGGGNNCGGGGGGGGGGGGGTGTTAGGGTTTTAGTGTGTTTTTTTTTGCCTTTTTTCTCATAGGATTTGAGGTTTAGTGAAACGGGTTCACGGCTTTTAATTTGGGGCTCAAGGGCATAAAGATTTAGGGTTTGCGAGTTTGGATTTTTTGTTAGGTTTCTGGGTCGTTTTCTTATTCGTGTTCCAGGCCCTGTCCGCCAGGCGGGATTCCACTACGTGCCCAGAGTATGAAGTGGAAAAGGGGCTCAAAAAACCGAACCCATGAGGTTGAACGGTAGGGTTGAGGGCTTCAGTGTAAAACTTTCCTGTTTCTGTAGGCATGTAAGTGAAGGATT